TGGAATTTCGTGGACTCATGCTACCCTCTTCTCACTTGCCAGTGGGGTGATCTTTTCCCTTCCATCCATAAGGTATATTTTTCACTTATTTGGCAGTAGGTGTGACCGCTGTTCTCCATGTTGTAGAAAGTGATGTCACCCTGTGGACTGTGCTGTCACACAGAAATATATGAAACGCAAAGACGGCTGCACAGAATTACAAATCCTAAAGTGGATAAGACAGTTCACATTGGAGTATTCCAGTTTTGCTTTTAGTTGTTTGCCTGGAGAATTTTTGGATCTTTTCATTTAGGCAAAGCCTCAAATTGACACATATGTAAATTTACATGCCTAGGTTGTATCTCTACAGTACCTATATACTGAGTTTTATTGTGTTTGTTTACTGTATATAGAGAGCATTCACACCTACAAATGCACCCTGCCTCTGATTAGATTCAAGAACCCCAGTGGAGGTTCCTGCAATTAGCTGGGGGAGGCGGTAGCCTCCCAATGCTTTCAATGGGAATGCCTTCCCTAGCAGCTAATTGCAGGAACCCTGCTGAGGTTCTTGCATCTAATCAGAGGCAGGGTGCATTTGTAGGTGTGAATGCACCCTTATGCATAGAGGGGTCAAAAATCAGCCGATTTTCGCACCGTTAGTGGGTTAATTGGTTGCCCATTTTTGGGGGTTTTTGCACATTTTTTTGACGATCGGCTGATTTTCCCGACAATGAAAGGCAAATCAATCGATCGTTTTACTGATAAAAAATCTGAGAAGAGGAGGAGGAAGAAGAGGAGGAAGCAGAGGAGGAAGAGGAAGAGGAAGAAGAAGAAGAAGAAGAAGAAGAAGAAGAGAAGGAGGAGGAGGAAGAGGAAGGTGAAGAAGAGGAAGAGGAAGAAGAAGAAGAAGAAGTACGCTATTATATTTTATATGAAAAAGTCTTGCGGTTGCAACAAATGTATCCATTTGTATCCAAATAAAAACATCTGTTTTCAAATAAAAACATTGTAATCCAAATAATGTATTTGTATTGCTGTCACATTGTATGGTGTGCTCCCCTGTCTCTGCAAGGGACAGAAGTTATGGGGTTAATGCCGGCCATAGACGGGTCAAAAATCGGCCGATTTTTTTAACATTGGTGGTAACGTCGGCCGATCGAACGACCGATGTTTCTGGGTTTTTTAAAAAAAAAATTGGCCGATTTTCGACCCGTCTATGACCTGCTTTAAAGAGGAGCTCCAGAAAGAAAGATTTTTTTTACTGGGAGCTGGGTCCAGCATAGTAAGGCTACTTCACACTGAGGAGTTTTTTTAAGCGTTTTTTGCATTAAAAAAGCGCCTAAAAAGCTCAGGAAAAATGCTTCCCTATGTATTCTTATTATTCTTATTATTATACAGGATTTATATAGAGCCAACAGTTTGCTCAGTGCTTTACAATATAAAGGGAGACAGTACAGCAATAATAAAGTTCAATACAAGAGGGATAGGAGGGCCCTGCTCCTCGGAGCTTACAATCTAGGATGTGAACGTATATCTATGTATGTTTTCACACTGCGTCATTGCGCTTGTGGTGCAGTGTAAAAACTCCTGCTTGCAGCATCTTTGGGGCATGTTTGGTGAATTTAAAAAAACGGTCCAAAATGCCTCTTCCCATTGAGATCAATGGAAAACGCCTGAAAAGCGTCTGAAAAACACCTGAAAAACACCTCTGTGAAGTGTTTTTAGTGCAGTTTTTAAGTCACGTGTCCTTTAAAAACTCTCATAAAGCATAGCAAAAACTGCTCTAAAAACGCCTATGGAGGGAACTGACTTGGTGTCACTGACATCCCCAGTGACACCAATGCAGTGATTAGTGCTAATAAAAAGCACTGACACTGAACTAATGACACTGGGCAGGAAGGGCTCAACATGTGGGGTGTTCAAAGGGTTAACTGTGTAGCGTGTGCTGTTTTACTATGCGGGCTGTGTGTGCTTTACACAGTAAGCACACTGCTTTGTATGGCTCTACAAAACAGTGTGCAGAAGCTGACAGGAGAGAGATCTGTATTATTTACATATAGGTCCCTCTCCAGTGGGGAATCACCAGCCGGGAACCGGTGACTGACAGCCAAGGCTGTGAATGGTAGGTACCCGGAACTGTAAAATCACGTATATATAGATGATTTTGCACACCCGTGCCACCCTGTAGCAGTATTTCTGCTATAGGGTGGACGGGAAGCAGTTAAAGTGATTGCAAACCTACATTTTTTTAATAACAGACTTGTCATACCTACTTGCCCTGTGCAATGGTTTTGAACAGAGCAGCCCCAAATCATTTCTTCTCAGGGTCCCCATCAGCACTCCTGACACCACCACCCCCCTGCTGCCCCCGGTGCTCTGGGGGCAATTGTGTGGGCTCAGTCCTGAGACACTCTCTGTTTGTCCACATACAGAGTGAGACTCAACACACACACACACCCCACACACACACACACGCAAGTAAGATGGGCTGGGAAGAGAGCAGAACACAGAAGTTTTTTTGCACCTTAATGCATAGAATGCATTAAAGAAGTATAGCCAAAGTTATTTTGGCTATACTTTTTCCTGTAGGTTCAGGCTCTAAAAATATCTCAACCATATGCATGGGACCCACCCAGAAGCTTGGATCGACACCTGGCTCAGCCTCTCAGTGATCCACTGAGAGCCTGAGCCAGCCTCTCCTGCCCCCTCTACAGCCCAGTGCTCCAGTGAGTGCTGGAGGGACAGAGTAGAGAGCCGGTGACTGACAGTCATGGCTCTCTGCTCAGAGTGGAGGGGAGAACAGAGAAATCAGCGGTGTTTGATTACTTAGTTCTCACTGCAGAACTGGCAGGGGACAGATGCAGAATTGCATTGCATCTAAGTGAGAATATTTATTTTTCCTTAAAGTCCATACTTCTCTTTTAAAGTAGTTGTAAAGGAATGCATGAAGGGAAAAGAGCTTCTGTGTGCAGTAACCCCTTCCCCGAAATACCTGAGCCCCATCGCGATCCAGCAATGTGCACAAGAGCCTCGGCTCTCTGGTGACTCTCCCTCCTCTGTGGCTGAGCCAGAGAGCCAATGAGGAGAGAGAGGGGGTGTGGGTGAGCTTATTTTTAGCGTTTTTGCATTGGCGTTTTGCCGTGATTAGCGGTGTTTTTCTGCGTTTGCGTTTTTAGCATTTTTTTGGTCAAAAAAACATAAAACACGCTGGTTTGCGGAGTTTTACCACGTTTTGCCGCATTTTTCAGCGTTTTTACAGCTAAAAAACGACTCTAGAGACCCACTATTCTTGGGGTTTTTTTCCAGGCAAAAATTTCCCAGCCAAAAAACATTGATTACAGTCTGTATGTGCATGGATAGGATAACATGCTGGGGAGTTTACTAGCTGTAGAAAAAAACGTCACAGGCCAAAAACAGCCACTGTAAAAACGTCCAGTGTGCATGAGGACTTAGTGTCACTGGGGATGTCAGTGGCAGTTAGGGCTCGTTCACACTAGGCTGTTTTGCCAACGCTTGCCAAACGCCCCTATAGCGTTTGGCAAGCGTTGGTCCGGTGTTTGCGGAGCGTTTTTAACGCTCGGCAAACGCTCCGCAAACGCCGCATGCGCGGTTGAGCGGCGGTTGCTAGGCGTTTGCCAAGCGTTAATAACGCCCCACAAACGCCTATAATGCATTTGAGTGGTGTTACCGCTCCGCAAACACCCCGCAACCGCGTTGCAACCGCACCGCAAACGCCGGCCGGGCATTTGCGGAGCGGCACCATAGACGAGAATAGGAGGCTTCAAAGCCTCCTGACTCGACCAGAGGCGTCCATTTTGCCGCGACGCAACGCGACGCGACGCAAACGCTCCTGTTAGAACAGCACCATGTGCTGTAATGTGCAGAATTGGCAGAGGCGTTTGGGAAGCGGTAAAAACGCTTCCCAAACGCCTCTCTGCCGCCTGCACACAAGGCTAGTGTGAATGTAGCCTTAGTCAGTTCCAACGAGTGTTGGAATGCCTGCCGCAGTCTTGCAGTCCCTCTATAAGTCGCTGATCGCCACCATTACTTCTATAGAAAATAAAAATTCCAGTATATATACTTCCATTTGTAAATGCTATAACTTTCACGTAAACCAATTAATTCACATATTGGGATTTATTTTAGGAAAGAAATGTAGCAGAATACATTTTTGCCTAAATTTATGATGAAATCTGATTTTATTTTTAATTTTTTTACTGGACATGTTTTATAGCAAAAAGTCAAAAATATTCTTTTTTCAAAATTGTCGGTATTTTTCTGTTTATAGAGCAAAAAATATCAAATACCATCGAAAGAAAGCTCCATTTGTGGGAAAAAAGGACAAAAATTTAATTTGGGGGCAGCGTTGCATGACCGCGCAATTGTCATTTAAAGTAACACAATGCAGTATTGCAAAAAAAAAAAAAATGGCCTGGTCGGGATAAGGGGGTAAATCCTCTGGAGAGCACCAAAAGAAAGCTCCATTTGTGGGAAAAAATGGACATACATTTCATTTGGGGGCAGAGTTGCATGACCGCAGAATTGTCATTTAACCTCCTCGGCGGTATGATTCTTTCCAATTTTTTGTGCTGAAAGTGGTACCATTTTTTTGCATGGAAATATGTAGTTTTTTATTGTAGGCTGTAATTTTTAGGAATAACTCACTGAAATCTGTACGAACAAGAGTCTAGTAAACATCCCGGGTATGATAAAATTTGAAACACGAAATCATAAATTATAATATAATAAAAAATAATAAATAATAATAATAATACATTTAATTCAATAATATAATCAAACCAAAAACAATGAAATTTGAAATACAGAGGCAAATTCGCACATCACTGAGCAAAGTCGCAAAATCGTTTTCAGTGTCTGATGACGAATTTCCCCCACGAATCATTATCACTCAATTCTGCAAGTGGTTCTGATTTACTATCGCTGTTCTCTAGCTGGTCTAAAACCGCTTTTGACCAAAAGGGATGCTTTTTGGACGCCATGGACTTTTCTAAGTTTCGAGGCAGAAAGAACAGTCAAAATGCAGGCGGGGCACAGGACAAAGCACTAGGGACAAAATGCATGTGAAATGCATTGAAACAGCAATGTTTTACTATGTAATAATCATTTAAAAAAAAATGACAGTTTTTAAAAATTTTAAATTTGCCGCTGGTTCCGGCGCCCCGTACTGGTCCCTGTGTCTCCCGACGTCACAGGGACCAGAACACGGAAGCTGGATGCCGGCATCGGCTGGAGGAGATGGACGGGGACGCTGCAGGGGACACATCGTGGGAGCGAAGGACAAGGTAAGTGCTGCAGGGAATCCCTGAGCAATGCCGCATGGTAAGCCTGAGTGTAGCTCGGGGTTACCGCTTTTGGTACTGAAACTTTACTCCGAGCTACACTCGGGAATACCGCTAAGGAGGTTAAAGTAACGCAATGCAGTATCGCAAAAAAAAAAATGGCCTGGTCGGGATAAGAGGGTAAATCCTCTGGAGAGCACCGAAAGAAAGCTCCATTTGTAGGAAAAAATGGACATACATTTCATTTGGGGGCAGCGTTGCATGACCGCGCAATTGTCATTTAAAGTAACGCAATGCAGTATCACAAAAAAAAATGGCCTGGTTGGGAAGAGGGGGTAAATCCTCTGGAGGGCAAGTGATTACATAAATGATCCCCTATTTGAAGAAAGAACAGAATCTCATGAATGGTTTCTTCCAAACACGTCATGGAACATTTCCTCCAAATCCTGTAAAGGGTTGACAGACTAGGCAGCTGCTTCTGCTATAGAAAGGACTTGTATGATGTGGAAATGAGGGAGTAGCAGCAGCAGAAGCCACTTGTAAGTTTGCCTTGTGGTTGCACCTGTGACTTGGGCTGTAGCTGTAGACTTGGAGGAAATAGAAAGCAGTGGTGAGGAAGGAGGAATGCAGCCAGCTGCCTCTCCCCCACACTTCAGCCCATAGTCGCAGTGTTAACAGCTTCTGTTCATCCCCCCTCCTCCACTCCCACATCAGCAGCAGCAGCAGCAGCAAGGCTGTACAGAGCCCAGATCAGGCACATGAAGTGCTCAGCAGCCTCTCCATTGACTAGTGCAAGTGCTGGGATTGGCAGCGCTCAGTAAAAGTTAGGAGGGAGGGCTAGGAGCTGCCTACAAGTTGGACTGGCTGCCTCTGCCCACTTTGACAGCCACTTGATCCTATGTGTGTGATCTGTTGTATTTTTTTTTTTTGTTTTGTTTTTTTTGTCCTCCTCCAGCATTGGATGTAGGGAGCTGTGGGATCTCTTGTGTTTGCATTTAGTGCTGTGGCCCCTCCTGTGCACACAGCAAGGGAATTCCAGCCTGTGTTCAGCTCCACAGGCTGATGGGATCGTCTTCAGGTTCCAGTGACAGCTGATGACAGCGCAGCCCCATTGATGATCAGCCATCGATCGCTGGTGGATCGCTGACTTTCTGAAGGCTGGGTAGTGTGAGGGAAGGAGGCAGACACAGGGGAGGAGGGAGGATGCATCGGATGGCAAGGCGGACTGCTTCTTGAAGACTATGCCGAAGTTTAAATGACAGCTGCTGTGTTGTGAAGGATCTGTGACATGTGCGGTGTGGCCGCTTCCCCCGATCTGATCTGACAGCAGCCTCCCCAGCCTGTGATCTCAGCTGCCCGCTGTGCCAGGGATGCCATGCCCCGTAACCATAGCGGTGGCGATGAGGGCGGCTCTGGGCTCTGGGTGAAGAGCGGCTCTGGAGGGAGAGGAAGGGGCAGAGAGCGCTACTACGGCATGAAGGATGTGGAGTGCGGCCGGGGCAGCCGGGTCCTCCTCAACTCCAACCGAGGGGATGGCTTGCTGCTGCTGGGGACAGGTGAATCGGTCCGGAGTGCAGCTGCAGGGAACCTGCAGGAGAGCCGGCGGGGGAAGCAAGGAGCTCGGATGAGTCTACTGGGGAAGCCGCTGTCTTACAACAGCAGTCAGAGCTGCCGGAGGAACGTCAAGTACAGGAGGCTCCAAAACTATCTGTACAACGTGCTGGAGAGACCCAGGGGCTGGGCTTTTGTCTACCACGTCTTCGTGTGAGTACCTCCATGTCAATGCTTGCTGACTGTCAGGGGAGAACCTACCTCTGACAGCTCTTATGGATCCATCTCTGATGGCCTGGGCACACAGGGGGCCATCATTTCTGCATTTGGAGATCAAAAGTGATGGCTTTGGGAAGTTTGCTGAATTCGGTCAGCTCAACAGTGTTGCATATTGTCCCAATGAAACAGTTGAGTACTGTCTGATACTTTGTGTTCAAGCCCTTCCCCTAGGAAAGAAAAATGCTCCATTGACTCTTCTTCTAAGGTCCAAGTAGTACTTGTGATTGATACTGCTAGAAGAAGGGGGTGGACACCTCCAAAGATTGCTCTGAAAATTCCATCCAAGGAAAGGAAAAATGGGCTGCCCCACATGCAAGGTTTTAATGCTCATTTAGGTTTTTGAGGGCCACAAAGAGAATTTTTATGTACCCAATCCCTGGCATGCTCCTCTACTCCACTATGCTCTGCTGGTGGACTGTTTGGCACCCTCATGGCCAGTGCAGGGCTATAGGCTCTACATTGGACTTGATGTCAGACCTTCAACCACCAGAGCATAGGGGAGAAGATTGGAGGTTGCAGAGTCTAGACTTAGAGCTTGAAGGGAGCCTTCCAGAGTGGAAGGATCGAGTAAGTAAAGCTGCTTTTTGGGGTCACCTAGACCTACATGAGTGTTTATCTAAAGCGCTGTGCAAACTGTTAGCGCTATATAAAGTCTGTGTAATAATAACCTTTGCAGTGCAAGGGCTGGCCATTTTTCCTTTCCCTCAGGTTCAGCTTTACATTTTCAGGATAGGCTTTTGAGGTGTCTACCCTCTTCTTCAAAGCTGCAAGCAGTACCAGTGGTCAGTATTGCTTAGGCCTTAGAAGAGGGTAGACATCCTAACAGCTTGTCCTGAAAATGTAACTGTTCTGGCAAAAAAAAAAAAGTATCAAGGTACAGTACTCAGTTGTGTTGCAAATGTATTAATGTATTGTATCTATACATAGATACAATCAGTGTCTCTAATCCCCCAAAACAAATATAGCAAATCTTAGAGGTGGTTGCATTTTTTAGGCTTTCTTCCTTTATTTTAAACTGGCAATTTGGACAGTAAGCCTGTTATTTTTCAGCTTCAATTTCAACTTGACAGAGCAAGCTGTCCAGCAAAAGTGGCAGTTAGAGGTTTGAGACAGACCATTCAACACTGACAGGGATGCTTATAATGGCCAGTTTTTATTTATTACTATAACTGTTAAAACATGTTAACTGGAAATCAGCTTTCATTTGTTGGTCAAGTCCATCTAAATTTGCTAGAACACCTAACACTTCCCTCTCCCCAGATAGAAGTGCTGCTATCCAAAGGTTTCCCCGTTGCTCTTCCAGTGGAGTAGAGCTAGCCTAAGACAGAAAGTGTGTTATGGGCCGAATAACCAGGAGAAAATGAATGGAAAAACAGCCTAAAAAAGAAAACTAATGCAGCCACCACATTCAAGGATAGGAAAATTGATTTTGGTTTTATATATGCTATACGTAATTTCTAATGAGTTACACCAAATGTGAATTGGAAGGGGTTTTGTGTAAAATAGTCCTAGAGCTGGTGTCTTATGAGTAATATTAGTTCATCACTGAGATGGGCACATCTTGTTGCACTTGTTCTTGATAGATCCTGATGCGAGGGTCTTAATAGGTTAATGAATGGACAGTCAAACCATGGGTTTTGCCTTCTTGCTCTCACTTTGAAACAGAAGCAGTGTCACTTGGTTTGAAGAAGTGAAAGAAGACTCAGAAATAGTAATAGGGAGTGTTAGAAGCTTGTTATCCAATACATAATTAGATTTCTGCTTGTGGGTGAAGGAAGGCGGAAACCACAAACTGTTGCTGGTGGGCTTTTTCTGTGACTCACAGTGCACTTTCTGAAAATGGTTGGGAACATGCAGCTTTATTGTATGTGAACTCTGCTCTTAGTCATGTGCTTCAGCTTTGAGTTCATACAAGTGTTCCTATTATTTGTGTAAATTGAATTCCAGTAATGCACTCAGGGTTTCATGGTGATATGGTCTTCAGGTTCATATTGAAGGCTTTGGAAATGTCCATTATTTGCTGTGATTTTCAGCATCGTCATGGCTGTATCTGCTTTGCATAATGCCACTTTTCTAGGCAGTAGACACATTGAAGTTGATTTACTAAAGACAAGCAAGCTATTCACTTTGCAAGGGAATTTCCCCCAGGGCTTAGAGAATGTGGTGAAATTTCACCTTCCAAAGAATATCCAATCATGTGTATAGAAAATAAAGAATAACAACAGCATTTTGCTTGCCCATGATTGGATGATGGAAGACAGAAGATCTGCAAAAAGCAACTTCTATTATTGCAAAGTGAAAAGTCTATTAGCCATTGGTCAATGAACTGCACTGAGCTAATAGTATTGAAATCAGCTGAGTATTGATAGTGAAATTATGGCTGTGTTTCCTGTTTATTTTAGTTGACTGACAAATGTTTCAAGTAGTTTTTGTTTCATGTTTCTTTTCTGTTTATAAATAATGTACTGGTATTAGATAAGATAGCTAATATTTGCTGCAAGTAATAGGTTTCTGTGGCTCCTTCCTTGTTTTGTCATTTGAAATGATGCAGCGGCACCAAACACCTGCTGCTAAAATGAAGAACTCCTATCCTGTATAATCCTTCAGCAGTTGTATCCGGTAGGCAGTACTATGTTTTATTAGGGGGCTTTTTGTTTTCATTTTGGCTCCCACACTCTTCCCTGGCTGGTTATACTGGGTGAAAGTTTACCACTAGTAGTGGAAGCAAGTGAGAACATATGGAAATGGTATTAACCGGCAAGTTTTGTGTCCATCAGCATCTGGCCCGTGTTTTAAGTAGAAAAGGTGCACAGAAAAAACAGCAAGCCCTTCCAATCCCGTGCAGAAGAATATCGGGTGCAAGAATATATAAGTCATTGGGGTACCAACTGTGAAATTAAAAATATATTCACAACAAAGAATACTTGAATTTGGGAGTCTGTTGTCGTCTATATACAGTTTTGACTTCTGCTCTTAAGTAAAACTTGTTTTTAGGGTTAAAGTGACACAAATTTCTATTTAACTATGTAATCTAAACCAAAAACGTATATTCTGTTGCTCTCAGCCTCCTTTTTTATTCTGCTGTGATCTGACTTTCTGTTAGAGGTTGACTATGTTTGTTCCCCATGGTCTCACGGTATGTAGGAACGTAGCCACCATCTCTTGCTTGCTGCCGAGATAGACTAGGGACTTTGGGATTTGTAGCGTGCATAGAGGAGCACACATGGCCTCAACCAACATGCACTGCTCATTC